TTTAAACCATCTCCCATGAACCACGGAAGGGGAAGTGTCGCAGGACAACTAGTACCAGTGGAGTATAACCGACTGACAGTGTCGGAGACTGTGTCAATAGATGAACCCGCTGGTGGATACATGGAGATGTTAGAATACCGAAACTCGGCTAGAGGGTATGTGATGGCTCTGGAAGACGAAATGGCAATGGAAGAATATCTGGAGACGATGTTGCGAGGCACCACCCTCAAACAGAAGGCGTATGGAACTTTAGCGTCATCCGAGATGCAGGCGAAAACAATCGAGCAGTTAGTGAGCCTTCCATGGAAAGCAGTGGTGTTGAAGTACTTCGAAGAGGAAATGAGGACTGCGCCGAGAATACACGCTCTCATGGCGGTACCCTACGTAAGAACCGAATTACAATTGAGGTTCGCCTGGTGCATGATGGGATTAACTCGCGGGGAAAATGACTCAGAAGAAAGGAAAAGTTCAAAGGATGAAAAACTTTTCCTTATGACGAACCTGAGGGATCTGATAACCCAAGAGGGAGCAGAAGTAGCGTGCGCGAAGCGGAGAGACGCTCTCTGTTTCATTCGATTCCTGATAGAGCAGATTTCAGTACCAGCATTGAACACCTGTGCCAAGATGTTGAGGGAGGGCGATGAACGAGCAAAAGCCTTACTCTTGCTAGCACTGCTGGAGATGCATCAAAGCAAGCCGATGAGGGTGAATATGAAAGTACAACCCTTTCCTGAGTGGAGACATGCGCGATTGCTTCTTCGATTGCGAGCGGGCGGTGTTGCTAAGATTCTGGACGTCGAGAATTGTAACGATTGGGAGCGCTAATATTCCACAGACCAAATTGGGACTGGTCCTGGAAGAGGAGGTGACTGCGCCTTCCGTACCAAAGTCCGACAGGGGAGAGGAGTTTGGGTTGGGATTCTCGGATGGGCTGCTGAGAGCTAGCTTGATGGTGGTGTGGGAACTGATGGGACCATCATGGTGTCCTGGTCCCGATGCTGACTCGATATTGCGGGCGACACGGGATGTGCAGAGGGAGCTAAATGCAGAATGTGACCTGCGTGACCTGGACATCACATATAATGTGATGATAGCAGCCTCTGGGAGCGGCGGGTAGGACAGGGTGGAGTTGCCTGGCTGGGGACCGGAGGACTGGGTCGAGCCTGGTGGCTGTCTGGCGGAAGTCTGTGGACTGGAGGGTCACGTTTGTGGGGGGTCTGGATTGTGTGAAGGCCCTGGAGAGACGGCACAGGCAGTTGACGATATTGTTTGGGAATCTCGTGATGAAAGCAAGGACGGAGGCTGAACTGATCGCAGATTGCCATGGAGGAACCAAGGTGAATCTAGTGACTGCACTAGGATTCTACAGCATGTTTGGTTCTTTAGAGTCACTATTGAATCTAGAACAGAAACATGAGATGGTCACAGCCATCAGTGTAGAAGTGTTCCCAGGTGTTCCCAGAAGTGTTCTGCAAACTGAGCAAAAATACATAGGAAAATTGAGAGAAGCGATCGAGACGGAAATGAACATCAGACATAGTGAGTCTTATTGAAGACCATCAGGAGCACGATATTTGTTGGGATCGACATTGGCTCCAATGTGCAAGAGCAGATACCCGGTGCATTTCGTGGATGTAAAGAGTACGAGAACGATCGTGGATCAAGCCTTCTCAGTGCCAAAGTGTGTGCGACTAACGAGAATGTCCAAAAAATCTTACCAGTTGCTATGTAAGATGTTCTCAGCAGTTCCAGAGAGAACAAAGGAGGAGTTGGAATTGATACTGGGAAGGAAGTTCATGGGATACGTGAGTGGGAACTTCAGTGACTTTGAAAGACAGAAACAGAGAGGATCAACCGTTACGGATTACAATACAGTAGACGAGAATGATGAAGTCCACCGAGTGATGATGGAAGTGGAACTATTACTGAAAGCTTCGGGAAAACGTAATTGGAGGAGCATCATGTTGACACATGACGAGTTTCCCTGCCACTGCTTGCTGCAGACCTGGTGGTATCCCAGGCGTAGTAATCTGGTGTTGATCTGGGACTCTGGAGAGCTGCTCTCCATGGGTTTACCAGACTCATCACGGCCCATAACGATAGTGATAAAGGGAGTTATGATGGCGATACGATGGCTGGAGGCTCATGTGAGAGAAAACAAAAGACAGGAGGCACCGACGAGAGAACAGTTGCAGAAATTGGATTATCTAAAAGATTTAGATCTTTTTGAGACAATGTGGAAAATTTTAATCATTCCGATGGAAGTGAAAAAGATATGGACAAGAAGACGATTGATGCCATGGTTCAGAGCTAACATGACTGCATGGTTGTACGAATATGCCAAAAAGCATATGTCGAAGCATGGCAGAGTGTACAGTGGATATCAGCTGGACATTGGAGCAGGAGCTTTCAAGCGAGCTTTCGTGACTCATCGGAATGCAGTGACCACCGCTGTAAAGAGAATTTCCAGGACGAGTGAACGTAGTGTAAAGGAGAAGGAAGAGATGTTGAAGGAAGATTTGGAGAGAAACGTGACGTTGTGTCTCCAAAACAGCTTCTGCCTAAACAGAGAATCTAACGTGGATCCCCTACCTTGTTGCAAACAGAGGGTAGAAGAGCAGAAGTGTTGGAGGATTAATTCCAACAGCGTCAGAATAGCTAACGATGTGTTTCAAGACACAGAAACTGAAAGTGCAGAGTCAGTGTCACAGGAGGAAGAGATGGAACATTGACAAACGGTCGAAAGAACACAAGAGGCAAAAAGAAAGAAAATTGCAAGAATTAAGAAGTTTTAGAACTTCTAAACGACGAAAAGAAGAGAAACAAAGGAATGACGAAAGAGAACAAGTTAAAACTCAGAATTGTTTTATGTGTGTGAAAAAAATTCAAGTGAGAAACTAAGCAACCAAGTTGTAATTGAAAACTGAAACATTTAGTTGAGCTTTGAACATTAAAGAGTTTGTTGCATTTACATATTTGCATTTTGATATTAGTTAGTGGCTTTGGGACACATACTATTTATTTAGAAAGGCTTGAGTAAAGAGGAAATTAAAATATTCCAGCCTGAATGACTGTTTTCAATCAACTAGGAGAACTGATCACTTTGTGGTGATATGAAAGGCTTGGGTAATCTCTCGAAGAGGGAGATTGTTTCATTGTTCTGTCTAACCACAGAGTTTCTTAGTTTTTATATCCAGGACAATAACAAGCAAGATTTCCGAAGGGAAGAAGCATAGTAGAATAATTTTAGCTTGTTGGTTGGCAGGACTGTCCTGCAAACCAACATCTTTTAAAAATCTAGGAGAAAAAATTTTAATCAAGGCATTGACATTGTAAGTCAGAAAAGAAGATGTTTTTATCTTGGGACATATCCTCAAGGCTATATTGATGTAGTATGATGCCATTTATATTCTGCAGTGAGTCGATATGACGCGGATAAAAGTAATTTCGTGCATTTTGTAAATTCTGTTCGATGACACGGTACCAATTTTACGAACATTGCGAGATTCAATGAGAACATTGAACGGACTGTCCGGGGAGTATGTGACATTCGACCAGATTGCACCAAAATGCAGACGCAGCTATTTCGAGTTTTAGCAGCGAACCTTCCGAATTGGCGGTTTTGAAGGAATAAGAGCGTTATTGGAACGATTAGCCAAACGGTGAAGGCTAGAACATGCTGATGTTTCAAATTTTCAAATTTCCGAAGAATGACGTCATATTTCTGAGAAACGTCAGAAACGACCATTTTGGCAGAAAACCGAAATAAAACACAACAACATTAGTTGCGATAGCGATAACGACGAAAACTGTGATTGGAAAACAACAACAAATTGCAGAAGTAGCAGAGACCGTTCCGAGTTGCAACTATTGTGTTGCTACAATAGTTGCAAGGCCGTTGCGAACAACGGTGAAGGGTGGAAGACAGCCTTCCGGAAGGAAGATAAAGGTCTTATTTTTCCGGATTCAAGAATCCGGAGGGGTCTCGGGACTGGAACTTATATCATTTTATACAAACTTTTAGCTTCCCTATTATGTCCTGAATTGAATTTAATCAACATCTGAATTCATTTTACTAGGATGAGAAGCTAGGAGTTGGGGGAAAGGGTTGATCCATCTTCGATGGAGATGATGATTTTTATCTACTGAACAAAAACAATAAAAATTCAATAAATAGTAGTAGCCCTGATTTAAGGAGTGACCTCGTGGTCTGGGGATACTGAGACCCAGCCATGAGCTCACTATTTCTGCATAAAATCTAGTTAATTTGCGTGTTTTGACCGAAGCCGAAAGCAGTAACGTTTTGTCGACCCGATGTTAGAAAGACCACCAAAAGAACTGGCTTGGTAGAGACGGTGAAAAGCATGTAGAGCTCTGTTTAGACGTTGGCCAGTCGTCTTAGAACCTAGCTTTATTTTCCGTCGATATGTATCTTCCGGGCGAATGTTACATGTTATGTTGAGTTAGGGAGAGTTTTTAGGTTGATCCATCTGAAATGGATCAAAGGTCCACTGTCTAATAAAAAGTAACTTTACATAAGGTTCCGATCCTGTTTTTAACGGCGTTCGTGTATTTTAGTATTTTGAGACCTAAGTATGGGGGCGTTCTTATTTTCTAGAGTTGGGGTTATTTAGGTAGTAGCCATTAAGCTGTAACAAGGGTTTTAGTCTCATCTCGCAAGTGAACCGAATTGGCTCCGACCGATTTTTCAAACGGTCGGAACAAAAACGAACGTTTTTGCTATAACTATCATCATCAGGTACGTACAATGTTAAGTCAGAGTATTTAGATGCGTCTCAATTCCAGCCAGCTCTGCTTTTGCTGTATCGCAAGTGACGCGAATCACCGTTTTACGTCTGTGTAATAATTATTACAATTCATGATAGTAATTATTTTAAGTGTTCTTGAACTAAACTCCCATAAAGCTTTTTATAATTATATTTCATTTTCTGGAAAAGCTGTTATCATGTTTTCATTTTAAGAGTATTGGCTGTATTTTCAGATAATGCTTGTTTACCTTTAGCCACCATCAGGCTCGCACAGTTTTCTAAACATCAAAGCCCGTTTAAATGCATATAAAGCAGGTTTGTAAGCCGCGGAATTCGAATGATAGCTCTGTGTTTTACAGTTTTTTTTACACGTTTACAATTTAGAGTTTATATTGTGTCTTTTATAGGTCATTATATCCGGTTTTCGGTCATACAAGGACCAAACGAAAATTGAGCCCTTCAGCAAACGAGCAAATGTTATTGTTGGCCGAAATGGTAGTGGAAAGAGTAATTTCTTCTATGCGATTCAATTTGTGCTAGCCGATGATTTTTCCAACTTACGAGCTGAGCAAAGATTGGCGTTGCTACATGAGGGGACTGGTCAACGAATCATTACCGCGAATGTAGAGATAATTTTCGACAATCGGGTTAGCGTTTGTAGTAGTATAGTTTTTCAATCAATAGTCGTTTCGTCGGATCAATTTTTCATAGATAGCCAAAATTGTTTTTTTTAAGGACAACCGACTACCGATCGAACAAGAAGAAATCTCCCTGCAGCGTGTGATAGGAGCCAAAAAAGATCAATATTTTCTGGACAAGAAAAGTATCACAAAAACCGAGGTGCTCAGTTTGCTTGAGGCGGCTGGTTTCTCGCGAAGCAATCCTTATTACATCGTAAAACAAGGTAAGATAAACCAAATGGCTACTGCACCTGATTCGCAACGACTAAAACTGCTTCAAGAAATAGCAGGAATAAAAGTCTTCGATGAGCGCCGAGGTGAAAGCGAACAGTTGTTGTTCGAAACTCAATTGAAGAGTGAAAAGATTGTCGAAGTTCTCGAACAAATTGAAAACAGACTGAAAACGCTGAACGAAGAAAAAGAAGAATTGAAACAATACCAAAAGTGGGATAAGTCGCGCCGAATGCTTGAGTATACTATTCACGACAACGAGTTGAAGGAAACGAAACAAAAGCTGGAAGATTTGAGCAAAAAACGAGATGAGAATTCGAGTGCTTCAATAGCTCTTCAGGATAAATTGCAAGAAATTCTGAAGCGTGGGAAGCAAATAGGAAAAGATGTGCGGGACTTGAAAAACAAGATTTCATCTATTGTCGATGAAAAGGAGTCGCTTTCGAAAGAAAAGTCAACTTTGATCAAACAAAAGGCGAAATTGGAACTGACGGCTAAAGATTTGCAGGACGAAGTTGACAATGAAGGTAGTATGAAAGAAAGTTTGCAGTTAGAGCTGAATAATATCAATGATCAAATTTCGGAAAAGGAGGAAGAGTTGACTCAGTTTGCACCCCAGTATGAAGATGTTAGGCGCAAGGAGGAGAATATAAGTTCTCGTTTGGATTGGTTAGACCAAAGAAGAAGAGAATTATATGCTAAGCAGGGCCGAGGAACTCAGTTTGAGTCTAAAGAGCAAAGAGACAAGTGGCTTCAACGAGAAATCAACCAATTGGAACGGGCCGTTGGAGACAAGCATGAGCAAATACGAAGACTGAACTCGGATTTGGCGAATGATCGAAGCAATTGCATTGAGCTGGAATCTCAGATCACCAGACTTAGTCAAGATCTAGAGGAAGTTAAGGTGTCAATGGATAATCAAGATGTGAAGCTCTACGAAATGAAAAAGCAGAGAGAAAAGTTACAAAGTGAGCAGAATAATCTGTGGCGTGAAGAAGCTGCTCTACAGCAAGCGATTACCAGTTCTAAAGATGAGTATGCTAAGAAGGACCAGCAGCAAAGGTCAATTACTGGGAAGAATGTTCAAAGTGGGATGGACAGTGTCAGGAAAGTCCTGGACTATTTCAGAAACAAGGGAATCAACCAAGATGTTATTGACGGATATTACGGAACAGTGATTGAGAATTTTCACGTATCGTCAAAGTTTTTCACGTGCGTTGAAGTCACGGCTGGAGGTCTAATGTTTCATCATGTAGTCACGACTGACCGCGTGGCAACTGCAATTTTGGACGAAATCAACAAGTTCAAAATGCCTGGAATAGTGAATTTTATGCCATTGAATAAACTGGAAACGAGTCGGCCTATCGAGTTTGAAAACAAAGACGCAATTCCGATGTTGAAAAAGCTCAATTTTGATGAGGAACTGAGAAAAGTTTATCAGCATATATTTGGCCGAACATTGATTTGTCGAGATATGGAGGTTGCTGGTCGCATTGCTAAAGAGCAAGATTGCGATTGCATTACAATGGAAGGTGATCAGACTTCTAGGCGTGGAACTTTAACTGGTGGTTTCTATGATCATAGACAATCGAAATTAGAACTCCAGAAAATCAAAAGAGAACTGGCTGCTGAAATTGAAGAGCAAGAGCAGAAACACTATGAACTACAAACGAGGTTGAACGAAATCGAACAGCAGATTACTCATGCTCTGAGTGAAATTCAAAGAGGCGAGACAAAAGCGTCCAAGAGTCGAGAGATGACAGAACAGTTCAAAGCAGATTTGAGACTGAAGAAGGAGCAGCTGAATAGTATACAGAAGAGCTATGACCCAAAAGAAAGGTCACTGGCAAGCTTACAGTCAAGTTTGGACGCAATGAACGCTTCTGTGAACTCGTATAAGGTTGAAATGGGCACCGAACTATTGTCGCAACTATCTTCACAGGACCAAAATGAAGTGGGAAATATCGCAACCGAGAAAAAGAAATTGACGAGCGAGAGCAAAGCGATTGTTTCAGAAAGGTTCAAACTTGAAGGGAAGAAAAATATGATAGAAAATGAACTCGAAAATAATTTGAAGAGAAGACAAGAGCAACTCGTTAACCAATTACAAGATTTAGGAGGCGCGGAAAAGAAACACAAGCTAGAAAACTCGAAAAACGATTTATCTTTGATGGCCGAAAGATTTGAGGCTAATAAAACACGATTGGACGAAATTGATACTCAGTTAGACGATTTGAATGTCGAGTTTGAAACGTTACAGGAAAATTTGGAGGAAAATAAGAACCAGGAAAGAGAAACCCAGGACAAAATTGACACTGAAACCAAGTCTTTAGAGACAGTAACCAACAAGCAAAGCTTACTTGTTAAGCGCAAAGAGGAATGTTTGAAGAAAATAAGAGATTTGGGATCCTTGCCTAATGAATCCTTCGATAAGTATCAAAAGATGAACAGCAAACAACTTCACAAGGAATTGAACAAATGCAACACCGAGTTGAAAAAATATAGTCACGTGAACAAGAAAGCGTTGGAACAGTTTGTAAGTTTCACAGAAGAGAAGGAGAAGTTATTGGACCGGAAAGCCGAAGTGGATAGAGGATCTCAGGCTATTCAAGACATGATGGATTCTCTTGATAACCGAAAATATGAGGCCATTCAGTTCACGTTCAAACAGGTTTCGAAATACTTTTCAGAGGTGTTTCAGAAATTGGTACCTGGAGGACGAGCGCAATTGGTTATGCGTCGGAAAGAGGCGGACTCTCAAGAAGGTGGCTCGCAACAACCTGAAGTCCCCTTAGTTGAGCAGTTTTCGGGAGTGTCGATTAAAGTATCTTTCTCGGGTAAAGCTGCCGAGACACGAGAAATGAGTCAGTTATCAGGAGGCCAAAAATCACTGGTGGCTTTGACGTTTATATTTGCGATCCAAAAATGTGACCCAGCGCCTTTTTACCTTTTCGACGAAATTGACGCGGCTCTGGATCCGGCACATAGACAATCGGTAGCCAATATGATTAAAGAACTCTCGAATAATGCTCAGTTCATCATTACTACTTTCAGACCCGAATTGATTGAAGCTGCAGACAAGTTTTATGGTGTTATTTTCAGGAATAAAGTGAGTCATGTTGAGACAATTGCGAAGGAAAAGGCGAAGAATTTTGTAGAAGATGATGAAATTCATCGATGAGATGAATACTGCTGATGTTTTAACGGTCAAATAATTCCTCAACGTGTTTGTTTCTATTACTTTAACAAGGACTTCAATTTTTAACTTAGTTCGTTCTTTGATAGAATAATTGATTTTCCTGGGGACCATGTCGCTTAGCATAGCACTCGCTTAGCATGCGCATTATTTTTTTCTCTATTTTACGCTCGAATAGTTATGATGTTTTCAGGTGTTTTTGATGAATGCCAGTTTTGTGAAACGTATCATCGTGTCTGTTTTTGCAGGAGTGTCAGTCTAGTTAGTAAGGTATCATCGAAAATTTCAAGGTTAAAACGGTGGAGGAAATTCTACCAAGTTTATATGTATATTTGTCGTTCAATTTTCAATTTCTGAGATTCGAAAACAATTTAATCGACACATTTTGCTTAGCGAGTTATATGCTAATTGATGAAGTCCATTTTTCTGTCAGTAAGAGTTTCTTTTTCATATGAAAGATTTAGTGATGAAAGTTGCTGACTTTCATCTGTTTGTTTTAAGTTTCAATTTTATTTTGCTGATTGCTGTATACACTACTTGTGCAATATTTTTGTAGCGTAATCTATGCTTTTATCTACCTGTGTTCAATTAAAATTCCACAATAATATTTTGAATTCAGATTTTAATTGTTAATTAACGAACTGCACGCTTATTGATCCGACCACTTTTGAAGAGGGGAATGAAGCTATGTATAAGGGTCCGTTTTTAAGAGTTGATGAATGTAGTTCAAACTCTTATAATGGTCGTGATTTTTTTCCGTTTATTTTTTCAGGAAAAGTTTTAACAGGCTCTAATAACAAAAGAATGGCATTCATTCTTGAAAATGCACATACGAATGCCCCTAGGTGTATGTCCTGTTTTTGAGTTCAATTCAAGCTCATTTACTTGAAGGCGGGCATCATGAACTCTCCAATTATAAAAACTGAAATGGCGCGAAAAAACGTTATTCATTTCTAGTTTCGAAAATGGAATTTAATTTTGGGATTTTCCAGCGGAATAAAAGCTTTTCCTAATAATCTAGTTTTTTCAATTGTGTTAGTTTTATCAAAAAAAGCGTCAATTATTAATCTTGAGCTTTATAGTCATATTTTTTTTGAATGTCAAAAATTGAAGTTTTTTCAAAAAACGAGTCCATTTTTTATGTTTATTTGCGTTCATTGACTCTTTTCCAACTGTCTGTTGGCTGTTTTTTATTTTTTAAAAAAAGTTTTGAGTTATTTAAGGAATACTTGTAAGAGTCAATTTTGACATCAAATTGAAGCCTTTTTGACCTCGGTTTCGTTGTTTTCCGTATTTGATATACGGCTTTCCTTTTTTAAAAAAAAATCATTTTTTTCAGAGCAATGAAAGTAGTGAGTTGTCTGATATAAGTCTTGCTGATTTTTTTTTCAGGAAAAAGTCTAAAAATTTGTTCACGCTCAATTTTTCTTCGTTTGACTTGTGATTTCTTTTCAAGTTCAGTGCATTTCCATGTTTAAGAAGAAGGCAAACGCCACTATTGAACAGCAAAAGCATAGAGGTCACAAAAAACGTGATCGACTTCTAATTTCGAAAATGGAAATTAATTATCAGATATCTCAGCAAATTAAAAGTTTTGCTTTTTGATCCAGTTTTCTCAAATTGGGTTAATTTTAACAAAATTGTCCATCATAAATTGTTCTACGAAATCAAAGAGCTTTAAGGCCATCTGTTTTCTTCGAAATTCAAAAGTTTTTCGGAAGATTTTAAAAAAAACAAGTCATTTTTTTCAGTTTCTTTGCGTTCATTACTCTTTTCCAACTGTCAGTTGGCTATGTTTTGGCTTGACTGGTGTCTGCTCAAAGATTGTCCGCTTTGTTTCCACTTCGTACGTTTTATTCTGTTGCTAATTTAAAATTTAATTGTCTTGCTTGGCATGTTTGCCTAAATTTCCGGTTTGATAAAAATATATATGGGAATGGCTTTTCCATTTTTTTTGTGACGCCTCGGAAATTTTTTTTTGAAAAAAGGGTATCAATAGAAAAACCGCCTACCCACCCCCCTTTTTGTCTGCATACTCCACTAGTCTCTTTTTTGTTTGACTCTCCATCTGCAGCTTTCGAAAAAATTTATGAGGGAAAGTTTTGAACAACCATATTTTCATTTTATTTATCGTTTTCTCGAAAATTACCCTCCCATATCTGAGTTTTTGGGTGCAACCGAAATTCGAGGTTGCGCGATTCTCCTTTAAGTCAGCGGCTGGGCCCAGATCGGATATCATAGGTTAAATCTAAATGAAAGGCTGTGGAATCTAAATGAAAGCCTACCTATATATTTGGCTACGCCGAATTTTAAAGAAAAAGTTATGGCCTTCAAACAAATTAAACGTTTTTTGGAAAATTTTTGACTTTACTCGAAAACTACCCATAATAACAATTATCAGTTTAGGTTTTCATCGAGAAGGCCTGTTTTGGGAATCTTCTCTACGTAAGCTGCCATGAACCAATTTTGGCAGACAAGGTTATGGATTTTGGGAAAGTTTCTGAAATTTTGACCGTTCTTTAGAAACATTTTGAGTTTTCTTAAACTACCTTTTCAAATTTGAGATAAAAAGTTCAGTCTAAAGAACCATTTCCGAAAATTTTTTTTTTACAGAAGTGGAGACATTTTTGTGCGACAAATATAATGTCCAGGGGGGAAAAATCCACTATAAAAAATTCTCACTGATTTTTAGCAGAGAAACAACTAAGGTTTTGGGCGAAGTTCAATTGCTGAAATCACGCATTTTGTCCCGTATCAGTTTAACTAATTCAAAAAATATCAAACTTGTACCTCTAGTTTTAGCTTGAAAACTTTTATCGAGAAATACGAAAGTGTTGGTTCACCTAGTTTCTTTTTAACACTTCGCTTCTGTGGTATACTTTTATTAATATGAAAAAACTGTTCGTTTCAGAATTTTGTTTGAAGATAGAAGTTGCAGTTGTATGCTTTCGGCTTCATAGGGAATGATTTCAAAATACTTAGATCTCAAACCCAGTAATTTTGGAGATTTGACCAATGTAACGAAAAGAACTGAAAACATAATTTTACTTTCAAATCGTTCAGTTTATGAAATAAGAAACATTTTTGGATGCATCTACTTAACTTCTTGGGGTTGCAGCAATTTTTTTTGCTATTTATTGAATTATAGTAATCGGAAACTGCAATTGAAAAAAGAATCAATTCGGTTAAAGCTGAATTGTCGGACTTTAGTTTCTCTGCTCAAGTTAAGTCGGCTTAGTTGCCAGATCACGGATTTTCTGCTGCCATATCACGTATACTTATGCTGCTATCAACCTTTATTATATTTGCAATTGCAAGTTTTGCTCATTGTAGTTGCGGGTGGGGGATTTGAAACTTCTCAAAAGAAATTTTTTCAAATAGTTTGTTTTCTGCATAAAGATTGTGGGTCTAGTTGCCTTATCTCTGGTTTTTCTTGTGCTGTAAGCATCTCTTATTGTATTTACGACTGTAACTGTGGTTCATTTTAGTTTTAAAAATTTTAAAAATTTGAAAGGTCTGGATTGGTTGTCTTGAATGAAGTTCTACCAAAGTATAGTAATATTTAAAATTATTTTTTTCAACATTTTTCATATTTTCGACTTATGTTTTATGTTTGTTTTGTATTTCAAATGGTGCAACGCTTCGCTTCTGTGTTTATTCTAGGGATTCGTTTCGCTGTTCAACAATCTTTTTGAAGCTAGTCACCCGCTATTGTTATTTAAAGCGCATCAGCTAAAGCAATATGAAGCTCAATTGAAGTTATTCACTTATGTTTGGTATTTTACTGGTAATTAGATTGTGGACGGTTGATACATCAGGCGTCAGTGGTATAGTGGTTGGATCGAGGACATAGTTCCAGTAGAATCAGGTTGAGGGCGTGGGGTATTTTTCAGGTTATTTGATTTTTCGCGTTTCGACTTTAATTTCTTTGCAAGTGAGTTATGACTGGAGGTGTATAACTCATAGAGTAATTTCGGATAGGGTACACCGTCTGCTCGTCACGCTATCTTATTTTCGGCCGGATAGATTCGTGCAACTTCTTAGTCTAATACCGATCCTAATCTTACTCTTATACTATCTAGTCTCAGGTTGTTTAACTAGTCTCTGCTAGGCTCAATAGATCTAGGGTATACTGGTTTATTGCGGCTGCTGAAGTGCTCGGGAGAGTCCAACTAATTTCTAAGTTAAATTCAAATCTCTCTGGTGCTGAAATTACAAGTAACTTCAGCACTTACAAATAAGTGGGTTGTTAGTTAGATGGATCATGATTGGTTAATATTAAATACTTTACATTGGTAAAATATCTAATTTATCCAATCATAAAATGTAGTTTAGATCAGGTTCCACCCATCCGGGTTTTACAGAGTTTTTTAGAATAGTTCTTCTGCAATTCGAAGGATGGATGATGGACGTTGGTTTTTGGCGAACATCATTTTCTTCCGTTTCCTCTTTGTTAAAGAAGTTCCAGGAAGCTGGAGTTAGAGACATAAGACGTTGTGTCTTCTAGTGACAACGACTAAGTCTTTGCAACAAACTCAAATCTGATTTCAGAATGGTTGGCTATGTCAGGTTTTTCTGTTCTGCGTGGAGAACTTCTTTTGTGTCTGATCTAGTTTGGGAATGGCGTGGAGATTGTGCGTGGAGGGGATGCCTGGTTACTCGGATCTGTACGTATACTTGAACATCGAGGTGGTCATTGGTCTAGTTCAATGAAGTCCTTTTCTGCGAAGTCAAGTCGTACTCTAAATCCTTTGAGTTGTGATTGTGAGTGGCATATCGATTGTGGTTGGCCATTCTCTCTCGAGTGTAGTGGGGTCGTTTTGTCTTTAGATGTTCGTCCTTGGTGTTGTATTCTGATCTATGTATTGCATAATGTAATTTACATTTTATAAAACATTTATTAGTTTAATATTTTTTAATTATGATTTTAGTTAGTTGTTTTCACAAAAGCTTTTTGTTTTAGTTCGGTTATTTTGAAGAGTTACTCACCCTTGAGTAGCTCTTATTAAAAATAGAGGTGTGGTCACAAAGCGTGGATGTAGCGCGGTGGGTTAGGCCGGCTATAGAGCATGCTCAGAACGTCCTTCCTGGTGGGTTAGGCCAGGAGTGGGAGTATGATTGCATGCGGTTTTTGTGAGAGGTCCTGTTATGTGACAACGTTTTATGTTGGGTTTGTTGTGGTTTTTCTTATGTTTTGTTGGTTGTGTCCTTTTTTCAAAAATCAAATTGTTCGTGGTATGGGTTTGTCTTTCGACTTTTTTGTGTTTTATTATTTCTTTCTTAGACTTTATAATAGTCTTCAAAAGAATAAATTATCCAGTTTTAAACTGGGTTAATCCGGTTTGGGTACCGTTGGTTTCCTTTTTTCTTAGTCATGCTGTTATTCTATGATTTGTGGTATTTAGTAAGCTGCGTTGGTTAGTTTTGCTTAGTATATGATTCCTTTCCAACAGGGTTAAAGGAAAGTTTGAAACATGTTATTATATGTTAGAGTTGTTGAGTGTGAAAACTTGAAACTGAAATTCATTATTTTAAACAATTCTTCGTGGGCGAGCTGTGCGAGTGTGGATAGAATTTCTGTGCGAATGAATGAA